CCAGACTTTGTGCTGCTCAAACCAGTGTTCTGTGAGTGACTTTGTACAGGTGTCATTTTGCATGTGTGTCAATTTACCTGTTGGACAATTGCCAAGGAATAAACCTGCTGGTGGAATAGTACGTACCATTTTAAATCTCGATAGATGCTGCCAACAGGATCTCCATTTGGAAGTTGTACTAATTTACACTCCCACCCACAATGTATGAGTGTGCCCCATTTCTTTCTTGAGCATCTCTTACTGTTGGATAGTTCTGCCTTTTTGGAATAATTGATCGGCACTGTGCCTCGTTGCAGTTTCCACCCACCTTTCCTCCTCCTGCTCTCTGGAGCTCTGCACTCTGGTCCTGTGTAGGCTTTTTCTTTTGATCTTGACTCCCCTGTGAGTTAGAAGGATGAACAATAAATCACATTCCATGCATGAGGGGGGAGCCCATCTCAGAGGACAGGCCAGGAACAGTTAGGCTGTGGATGCTTACATAACCACCAGGCCTTTGGGTGTAAGAAAAAGAGGCTAAATTTCTGGCTCAAATCCCTTTAGAGCCTGAGCTCCTTAAAATAAAAAAAAATAAATAAATAAATAAATAAATAAATAAATAAATCTGTGTATATGTATATACACAAATAACACATGAATATGTTCACCTTGTTAAAAAAAAAAGAAAAAACATTACAGAAAAGGAAATCATGTCTCCTTTTTTTTTTTTATGAAATCAGTCTGGAAGGTTTCCTTACAGATCATTTTCTTGGTGTTTGTATAGGTAGCCATTAGTAATAAGTACTATTGTTCTCTAACTCGTTAAACAAAGCATAAATAGTATTGTGGTATTTGTATCATTATGTAACTTCATTTTTTGGAAGATTTTATTTATTTACCAGAGAGACAGTGAGCCCAGAGGGTGACCGTAGGAGGGAGAGAATCTCCAGCAGACTTCCTGCTGAGTGTGGAGCCTGACGCGGGGCTTGATCTCACGACCCTGAGATCAGAACCTTAGCCAAAATCAAGAGTCAGACAGATGCTTGACTGACTGAGCCCCCCAGGCACCTCTGCAATTTCTTTTTAACTCAAAATATGTCTTACAGATTTAACTCTGTTGGTACTTAATCTTTCACTGCATTCTTATTTATTCTGGAATATGATTTACACCATCATGGCTTATTTACACTTGCATCTATTAGTGCACATTAAAGTTTTCAATTTCAAGCTACAAACTATGCTGCAGTGGACACTCCTGTGCTGCCTCGTTGTGTACATGTGTAGATGTTACTGTAGGGTAGATGCTTACAAGTGGGATCACTAAGTTCTGGTGTATCTAAACTTGCCCTAGTTTCACCCAACTTGCCTTCAAAAGGGCTGTGTACCTATTTCTCTATGGTTTCCCCACAATGTAAATATTGAAAAAAATTGGCATTCTTATGGGTTTCCAATTGCCTCAATAGCATCTCCCTGATTACTAATGACTAACTTTTCACAGTTGTTATTGGCCATTTGTGTTTCCTCTTTGGTAAATTACCTGCTCATGTTCTAGCTCCATTTTCTTCTTTTGTTTAATCCTTTACATATTGATTTGTAGGAGTTTGTAACTATGTCGCAAAATTTTCTTCTAGAGATTCTTTAAGACAGTGTTCCATCGTCCCACTTTTGCCCATTCCTATTGGGGTATGAGCCGAGAATTTTTATCCCACTCATTCCATCGCGTAGTGACATCTGACAAAAAAGAACTTTCCTAAAGTTGTGTGATGTGAGAGTGTATCACAGGAATAAATGCAGAGTAGTGGCAGTGAGGATACTGTCTCAGAGCACACAAATCCACAGCTGCTGTGACATACTAAATACATAAAACACGAGAACATATGGTGTTGTGTATAGTAGTTAAGACTTTGGGGCCAGACTACCTGAGTTCAAATCTCACCCTGCTCCTTCCCAGTAAATGTATCCCTCTGGCTATCTGTGCTCCTCCATTAAAATGGATGCATTAAGAGTATCTGTATCATAAGATTGTTGTGAGAATTAAGTGGGCTAATGCAATGTATTTTTAGCAGGGCTTGGCACATGGTGAAGTCTAATGTTAGCTATTACATAATAAGAATTTAGCTTTCATAGTGATTTTTGTTTTTTAAATCACATTTGACTTCATCTGACTTCTGTCCCAGGGTAACTGAACGTGTGTTCTGTTGTGTTGCCTTCAGCATCTAGAACTGCATCCTAATGAACATTTAGATAACACAGTTATCTGATGGAAAGGATTAAAAATAAGAATAACACCACGTGCTTTTTAAAAAGGTATGCAACTCATAAAGATGAGATACAGGAGTTCCAAAGCACAAAACAATGTCTTTACAATATGCTTACTGAGAGGATGGTGGGCATTTGTCCCTGCCGATGATGGTGCTACAGCTCAGGCAATTGTGTAAACACAACTTATTATTCACTTAGCTTGCCAGCTTTATAATTATGCAACTTTTGATTAATTTATTTGCAGGCATTTGCACTATTTCATAATCCATGCATAAAATGAGATTTGATTGACCTTTTTTTTATATGCCATGATTTCCAAGTCTCCCAATTCAGGACTGCCTATAGTATGACTACTGGGAACTCGCAGGAAGTCTACTGGGCCATCTGTCCTACAGCTGTTCACACCAGTGGTCGCTGCAAGGTGTTGGGGAGGGGCTGGCTTCTGATCTGGCTGAGGGTAATGATTTTTTTTTAAATGTGGGGCAAAACATCTCAGATTGACTGAAGGCTAAATTCAGAGTTTGCTTTGGGTGAAGGGATGCCTACAGTATGTGATTTAGCAAATTATCTCACGACTCCTGAATGGAAGAAATAGATGTTATTTCCTCAAAGATGGGCTGCTCCTTGTCCTCCTCCGCATGGAGCCCTCTTACCCTTTGTGTGTGTGCTACCTCACTCCCTCACAGCGACAGTTAAGTCCAGAGCCCTGGAACATCTTCTGGGGGTGGGGGAGTGTCTAAGATAAAATAGCATTCCTAGCATTTTGCTTTTTTGTCATTGAAATTGGAAGTGGGTCTTCGCACTCCCCACCAGAGACAGGCCTTTGACAGTAAGTTCTGGTATGCTAATGACACGGTATTTTGAGCCTTTCTGTCAGGTGCACTAAAAGGCTGTGATCATTACCATTTCATTCTCACTGAAATGGCTAAAATAGAATGTGCTGACCATAGCAAATGTTAGTGAGGATGTGGAACAACTAGAAGTCTCATCCATTGCTGGTGGGATTGTTGAATGGTGCATCTATTTTGGAGAACTGTTTATTTCGTGTCAGGTTAAACATAAATCTACTTCATGACCCAGCAATTCACCTAGGAATCCACATAAAGGAAATGAAAATACACGTCCGCATGAAGACTGTACACGAATGTTCATAGTACTTGTTCACCACAGCAGAAAATGGAATAGCCAGTGAGAGTATGGAGAAACAGTCTGCTCTGTATTCATATGTTGGAATAGCACTCAGCAGCAATAAAGAACGTACTACAGATTCACAGAACAACAAAGATGAGCCTCAGGAAACAAAGTTGAATAAAAGAAGCTGGATATAAAAGTAAACATGGTTCCATTCATATGAAGTCCAAGGAGATGATAAAACTTATCTATGGGAAGAGGAGTCAGAGCAGTGGTTGCCTCGGGAGTGGGGATGGGAAGATTGGGGTCATCCGGGAAGGGGCATGAGGGACTCTGAGGACAGCGCTCTACTTCTCTGGTTGCTTGGGTGAGAACGTGATTGTCACAACTCACCCAACAGAGCACTTACGATCTGTTCATTTTCTCATATCTAAATTATATCTGAGGGATCCCTGGGTGGCGCAGCGGTTTGGGCCTGCCTTTGGCCCAGGGCACGATCCTGGAGACCCGGGATCGAATCCCACGTCGGGCTCCCGGTGCATGGAGCCTGCTTCTCCCTCTGCCTATGTCTCTGCCTCTCTCTCTCTCTCTCTCTGTGTGTGACTATCATAAATAAAAAAAAAATTAAATTATATCTGAATAACATCTATTGCATATGTGCTTTAAAGGTCATGGTTAGTTTTTTGGTATTTATTATTTCATTTTTTTGCTGTTTTATAGTGCAAATTCTGCGTTCTTCAAGATCATCCTCATCTGGATTGCTAGGCGTCGTAACACTTTAACTGTATATGAGGAATTCCTAACGCGCTGTCTGTTGATAGTTTTCAGTGGATCCTTGGACCCCACAAAATTGAATGCACAATTTTGCATGTTTGTATATTTTTCTTTTCCCTTGAAGAGTGATTTCATGGCTACCACCATATTCTCAAAAGGGTCTGTGACCCAAAACATATTTAAAACAGAACTTGTGTGTTAGATGGTTCACGCAGAATGTGTAGGAAACAATATCAGGAGTTAAAGATCAACGAATGAATAAATGACGAACTGTCTCCAGTTGCTGTTCTAGGAACCAAGCCTCCAATAGTTTACTGATTAAAACTGGCAGATGCCAGTGGCTCCATGAAACTAGCAAAAATTAGAGTAACCTTCTGGCCTGAGCAATAGAACACAGTCCTGAGGAGACTAGCGGGCAGAACCAGTGCACCATGAAAGAGCTTTCAGTCCCATTTACAGAAAAAGATGCCTGCTATTCAAAAGTATCATATTCTGGGTCTATTTTAAATATTGAAAATAGATGAACATAATAGAAGCCACAGTGATGACTGAACTGTAAAAAATTATTTAATGCTTTTCTCTTGACAGGAAAAAACAATTACCATCGTGAACGCTAACAGAATCGTGTCAGGTTCGGCTTTGCCAGTGTTTAACAAAAGAGGACAATTTTGATGTGGCTCAGTTACGGCAATTTTCATATGCTGCGTTTTGACAATTGGTTATTCATTGTCAGTCCTTGATTGCAGGGAGACAGTGTAGCGTCGGGTCAACAGCATAGGGCTGTGAACGCTCTTGGAGACGGGAGGCTGCTCTGAGCACATGAGAGCCGTGGCTTTCTTTTGTGTGGTTATCGACAGGTTTCTGTGGCCTGTTTTGTCCAATATGCCTTGAGTGTGACATCGCCAGGCATCACGGAGAGTGCCTTTGTTGGCCATTGTTACCTGGGTCCACCTTTGCGCTGAGAATTGGCACCAGAGAGAGACATAAAATACGGGTAAGTTTGAACGTGTACATGAACTTGGATCTATGTAAACCTAAATGTCTTTCAAACCTGTGATTCAAAAAAAAAAAAAAATGTCTGGGTAAGGATGCTTGAAAACACCACACTTAGTGGAAGACTTTGGGAGAGGGAAGGGAAGAAATCTCTGATTTCATTCGTATGAGCCAAAAGGCTACATCGTGAGGGGTGTTTCCTGGGGCGCCTATTCGAATGCTGGTTATTGGTCAGTGGGCTACTTCTGTCTCTCTGTCTCTCCCTGCCCCCCGAGATGATGATGGGTAGAACTGCACCAAACTTAGAGGGTGTTCTTGGGGTGGTCTGATGTAAGATACAGATGATGTGGCACATGCAGAGCTCACTCTGGGGGTTCCCTGGAGGGAGCTTCAAAGAGCCAGTCACTTTCCAGTGCAGCTGAGCCTGGGGGACAATGAGAGCCCGAGTACAGAGAGGTCACACATATCAAGATGACGAGAGTCAAAAATAAACAAGGCACCTCCTTATATATTCATGTGGAATGATCCCTATTACATACACATTTCAGTGGACCCTTGGACCACTGAGATAGATCAATACAAAAATATATGTAAGTATATATATTTATTTGAAATATCTTTATTTATTCACAAAGAGACAGAGAGGCAGAGGCAGAGAGAGAGGCAGACTCCCTGCAGAGCAGGAATCCCAAGTGGGACTTGACCCCAAGACCCTGGGATCATGACCTGAACCGAAGGCAGACACTTAACTGACTAAGCCACCCAGGCGCCCCCTAAAATAGATTTTTAAGTGAAAAAAAAAAAAAGTATAAGACACAGAAATATGCAACTATTTGCATAGAAGGACTATATATACACTTGCGTAGACATAGAATTTATCTGGAAGTGTATATAAAGAGCTGCCAATGACGGTTGCCCCCAGACAAGTGCAGTGGGTGGCTGGGTACAGCCATGGGAAGAGGGACGTACTTTTTACTTCCCGTGCCTTCTTATTGTGAGAATTCTGGACCATATGCACTTGGCACCCCACTCGAAAGAAAGAAAGAAAAGAAAGAAAGAAAGAAAGAAAGAAAGAAAGAAAGAAAGAAAGAAAGAAAGAAAGAAAGTCATTATAAATATTAAGTCCTAGTAGGAAAAAGAAAGAGGCTGACAGGGAAATCGGGGCTTTCAAGTACGAAGCGTGTACCAAAAGCCGAAGCAGGGCCGGTCCCTGGAGTGAAGGACCGATGAGCACTTGAGCAGCGGGGCACCTGGGGGGCCGCCCAGGGGAGCCGCGGCCCTGGGCGCTCACCGGAAACGGGGCGGCCAGGCCCTGGGAGCTGCAGAGCGGCGCGGTGGCAGGACAGAGCCGGCTCTCCCCGCAGGCCACGCTGTGTGAGGACTGGCTCGCCGTGCACTGCTGTTGGCCCTGCGCCGTCTGCCAGCTGGCCCGGGAGCTCAGGATGCGGGCCGCCCGCCTCTACGGAATCTATGCGGCCTTCAACGAGGGACAGCCTTGAGGGACAGCCTTGTGTGACGGAGCGAGAGACGCCCCCGCCCCCGCCCCGCCCCCGCCCCTCAAACTCCTCTTAGAAGAGACACTGTTCTTAAGGTTTCACTGAAGTAGCAGAATAAATGAGGGCTCCCCTGCCGTCTTGGCTGCGTCCCTCCCTCCCGCCGCCGCGAGGGCGTCCCTGGCCTCTGCCCCGCTGCGGGCTCTGCGGGAGCGCGGCCTTGCGCACTGCGCGGGCTGGGGAGGCCGGCGCCCCCCCCACCCCTCCCCCTCCCCCTCCCCCTCCTTGGGAAGCTTTCTTCCGCCACCCGCTCCCTCAGGGCCAGCGCGGCGGGAGCCGGCCCCCTCGGCCCGCCCGCCGGCCCCTGGACGTCGGCCCCCTCGGCCCGCCCGCCGGCCCCTGGACGCCGGCCCCCTCAGCCCGCCCGCCGGCCCCTGGACGCCGACCCCCTCAGCCCGCCCGCCGGACGTCGGCCCCCTCAGCCCGCCCGCCGGCCTCTGGACGCCTCAGCCCGCCCGCCGGCCCCTGGACGCCGGCCCCCTCAGACCGCCCGCCGAATGCCGGCCCCGGGACGCCACCGGGCCCAGGCCGCTGCGTCCCTTGAGCCGCTCTCCCCTCCGACGCCCCGAGGCCGCCCGGGCCGGACAGATCCGGGGAGATCCTAGCCCGCGGTGCCTGTGATGTGACCTTACCTGGCAACAAGGCTCGCAGACGCCATTAGGGAGGGGAGGGCCCTTTCCCTGCACGACCGCCGTCTTCACCAGAGGAGACGAGCCGCGAAGGCGGACGCACAGCGGAAGACAGCCGCGTGGAGGCCGAGCGGGGCGGCGTGGGGCCACCAGCAAGGGCGCCTCGGTGACCGGAAGCCGCGCGAGGCAAGGAGGAGCCTCCCGGGGGTCTTGGGGGGAGCGTCGCCCTGGCCACATCTTGGTTTTGGACCTCGAGGCTCCAGAACCGGGGCAGATGGTGCCAGTCGTCGAGCCACCCAGTTAGGGGCACGTTGTGACCGCGGTCCCGGGGCGCGTCCACCCGGCGGCCCCACGAATGCAGTCCAGTCCGCGGCCAAGAGCGGCAGCCCAGACTGGGCTGAGGAGCCTCGTCCTGAATCCCAGCCTGCCGCCTGCATTCGCTGAGTGCGTGGCTGTGGGCAAGTCTCCTTTTTCTTTTCTTTTCATTGGAGTTCGATTTGCCACATACAGTCTAACACCCAGGGCTCATCCCGTCAGGTGCCCCCCTCAGGGCCCGTCACCCAGTGGCCCCGGCCCCAGCCCGCCTCCCCTTCCACCACCCCTAGTTCGCTTCCCGGAGTTAGGAGTCTCTCGTGGTTTGTCTCCCTCTCTGCTTTTCCCACTCGTTTTGTGGGAAAACTTTCTAATGCCTGTGCCTTAGTTTCTTCCTCCGTAGGATGACGGTGCTGACCTCAGAGCTGGGAGGATTCTCACCAGCCAAGACTCCCGGCACCGTGCGGGGCAAGTAGCAAGGACTCAGTACATAGGGGCGCTCAGAACTATTTAACTGCTACCTCAGATTCACAGCAAACTATGTTAGTTCTCCACCTACAGCTGGGATGTAAAGTTTTCTTTTCAATTAGCTTTTATTTAATTAGGTAACTAATTAATTTATTTATTTTTATTTTTTTGAGAACCTGCCATGTTTATTGCAGAAATTTGGTCACAATTCCCACTGGGTGGACCTCGTTGAAGTTGGAGCAGAGTGGGCCCTTTGTCCAGGGCTGGGCAGGTGCAACACGAAAGAGTGGAAGGAGTGTCTGGGCCCAGGCACTCAGAGCTGCAAGAGGATGTTGGGAGCCAGGCTGCAGGTGAGGTCTGTACCATCTGGCTCCACATTCAAGGACTTCACTGTGCCATTCTCTATCACCATAGAGAACCTCTTGAGCTGATGATTTCCAAAGAGAGATACCAATGAATCATCCAGTAACAAATCTGTCTCCTTCCCAAAGGCCCCAGTGGGGTCAGCCAACAGCCTAACCTTGCCTCCTGAGTTATGAGCTCATCCCCAGGCCTCAGTCACGAAGACATCATTAACGCTCAGACAGGCTATCACTTGGACCCCCTTGGCCTTCAGAGCCTCAGCCTGCTCCATGAATCCTGGCAGGTGGGTCTTGGAACAGCCAGGGGTAAAGGCCCCAGGGACTCCAAACAGCACCCCCTTCTTGCCCTTGAACAGCTCTGCCAGGTTCACCTTGTTCCCAGGCTCCCCTTCAAAAACCATCACCGAAGGGATGGCATCTCCCACCTAGAGGGAAAGACTTGATTGGGGCCATAGTGGAGATGGCGCTTCTGAAACCATGGGCCCCACCAAGCGTCCCGTTCCTGCCTCTTCGCTGGCACCCACCCGCTGTCAACGCTGACTATGCTGCAGACCCGAAGGCAGCTGTGGGGACGAAACCCGAGCCCACCCGGCTGTTCAGGACGTTCAGCGAAAGTAGCTGCACGCCAGTCCCAGCGCACACCATGGCCCGGCCCCCCTCAATTAACTTTTAGATTACAATGGAATCAATTCAAATACTCTTAAGTAAGTAACAATCTGGATGGTCGGTGGATGTGGCAAACAATTTGAAGGTGGTGAAACATATTGGCTCCTTGTTTACGCCAGGTACTGTTCAAAGTGCTCTACGTGTTTTAAGACACCTAATCCTTTCGTTGCTCAAGACGACGCAGGAACCTGAGCCACAGAGTAGTTAGGTGACTTGCCCAAGGCCACATAGCTGCTCGGTGACAGGTTCTTGAGGCCGTGCTCCTGACCCCTGCACTAAGAGAGTGGAGAAGGCTTCTGTCCAAGAGGTCTTCCTGGGCCCATGTGGTTGTACCAACGGGGAGTTTGCTCTCCAGAGATGAACCCAGCCTGGTGAGCTCTGAGAGGTGGTGGCGGCCATCCCCACAGATCCCGAGCAATTCCCGCCTGACAAAGTGATTCCTCTCCCTCCGGCCCCCCCTGTTGGATGTCCAGAGCAGCTGCCAGGAACCAACCCTCTGGGAAAAAGCAAATGCTCAGTGTTGGTATTTATTCTACGATAAAATGTTTCCCCTCCACATCAGTTACTGAAAAAAAAAAAAATCAGGCCTGAGGGACAACTAAACCAATTTTATTGTTCATGCTAAAACACACATCGGGCTTCCCAAGCTTGCAGCTGGGGACAGTATGCATTTCTGATGAAGGAGGCTTGGGTATTGTCCTCACTTTGGATGATGGGCCCTTCCCTGGTGGAGGGCAGACGGTCCTGCGGGCCCTGGTCTCTGGTGTGGGTCTCCTGTGCTGGTGGGAGGTACAGGTGGACCTGTCCAGCCAGGGAATGCCTGTCTCCCTTGGCTTCCTTTCCTCAGTCTGGCCGGTAAAGAGCAAACTCAACTCCTCATTAGAACCACAAACCCAAACAAAACTAGGCTCCAGAGAGCACTGGTTCTGCCAGTGAAGCACGGAACAGAGAACAGAATTGATATGTGGACGGTTCTTTGAAAACTATGGTGGAGAGTGGTCCCGAGGCAATGCAGCTTAGGGCCCTGACTTCTGGTTTCCTCTAGACCATGTCAAGTGCAAGAAAAAAAAGGACTTACTAAAAATATATGCTTTCTTCCCAAGAGAAAAGTTAGCCAACATCCAATATTTAGGTGAGAGACAACAACTCTGGTGTTAAACTTCCCATTTCCTCAGACTTGCAAAGAGCTGTCAGTGGTACAGATCTGAGGGTTTCCCAACAGTGAAGACATGTTCTGTGAATTTTTCTTTCCACCAGAAAATTCCTTTTGGTTTTCCAAGATGCAAAGTGTGGAATGGATCTCTGATGACTCCCATGTGGGCGAACAACACTAACACACAAGCAATAGACATTTCAAAGCAATCCATATAGACAATCATAAATTACAAAACTAGAAAACACATAAAACCCCACCACACTTCTTGCCTTTACAGTGGAATATACTAAGGAAATAAGCTGCCAGCTTTGGAACTTTCTTTCTTTCTTTCTTTCTTTCTTTCTTTCTTTTCTTTTCTTTTCTTTTTTTTTTTGGAACAAGGATATGAAAACTTTGGAAGTCCTTAAGTGTCCATTGCTCTATAAAATAATTTTTGTAGGTTCCTATATTTTATATATCTAAGCTTATACAATAGTCCATAATGGTTAAGATATTACATCCTATTTTATAAACATCATTCACATACGTATTACCTCATAAAGATTCTCTTTTGGTCTATTAAAAACACTGTACTTAAAAAAAAAAAAACCAAACATGACACAAGAGTCTATAGGTTCTCTGCTTACATTTCCATGGAGGTGTGAATTTTTCTCCCCTTCCATTTTGTCTTTCCACTTTTTCCCCTAAACGGCACCCCTCCCCGAGCCACATGGAATAAGAAGAAACAATTCCAGAAGATGAAACCCAGACTCTGGTTAGCAAACTATTCTAGGGTAAATTTCTGGGCTGACCTCATTCTGACCATTCTACTTCATCCTCACCGCTTCCCCACCCCTTCCACACTCCTTCCACTGCTTTTTGGCCCATGATGTTTTGGAATCCATATGGTGGAACTGACAGTTCAGAGATGAAAACTTTAGGAAACGGGTGGGTGGTGGTGCTTTTCTTAAGCTCCTGTTTGGTTGGAAACAAACCAGATGTTTCACTGAGGTTTTTTAAAAAAATATTTGGTCTATTGGCTAAGCAGAGTCAAAGGAAAAGCTACATTTCCATAAAACCTTCCACTTGGTAAGTCATGGAAAGTTCCCAGAGACTTAAAAAACAGCAAGTGTACAAATTAGGAGTGGTGATCTCCTGTTGCCTCAATGGGAGAGGAAGAAGAAAGAAAATGTGAGAAACAGCAAATGGGAATGAGAGGCTCTTGAACACAAGGCTGTAATTAGCTAATATGGTCTAATGGTTTTTGGGGACTAAACGTTGTTGTGTGTCCACCCCTCACCCCAACTCCCTAGTTTATACAACATGCTTCTGTGTGGGCAGCTTGCCTATACTTCACCTTTCCAAATATCATCTATAAAAGTAAAATTCCTTCTCTGAATTCAAATGACTTTTCTCTGGAAAATGAAGTCACTGAAACCTATGTATTGGTGGGCTGTAAGGCCTCATGGTAGTGACAAGTAGATCCCAGAGTCTGAAGGCAGCATCTCTAGTTTCTTTGCTGCTGGGCTAGGAGCCAACCAAACCTGAATGCATCCCAGAGGAAATGGAGCCAACATTGAGTCAGAGTAGTTAAAAGGGATGACAGACAACTGGCAACAGAATCACTGACCATGTGTGAGAGGCTGTGTCATCCTTGAATTATCCTTTCTGTGGTCTCTCCATACCTCTTAGCTTCTCACTCACCACCTGGCAGATAAAGCCAATACTTTGAGGTTGCTGGTGCTTATTATCACTTTCCTCTGGGGTTAACTGAGGGTAGGGTGTGGTTAAAAAGTCCAGGTTGCTCATTTAATTAAGAGAGCGGTGCTAGTTTGAGTCCTGCATGTGGCAGCTTCACATAGCAGAAAACATTCCTTTAACCACAAAATAAATTCCTTACTCTGCTCATGGTTTGGCTGCTGCTTGCTGCTGCTTACAAACAGGACTGCATGAAAGCCTAATTTTCAGAGCGAAATTATCATCCTGAACTTTTAAACGACCAACATATCCAAATGCTGCTGTGTTCTTGTCCTTATCTTTAATAATCGGGGTGGCATGTGCTTTTAAAAATGAAATTCTCATCGATGTCTTAAGATAGGGGAGGAGATGAAAATGTATGGCTTGAAGAGTCTCAGGGTACATCTGAATCGCATTTATTGGTTCCATGGCTCGCTCTGCTTAATACAGATAATTTAAAATTTGTGTTTAAGGTAGGGGCACCTGGCTGGCACAGGTGGGAGAGTATGCAACTCTTGATCTCAGGGTTGTGAGTCTGAATCCCATGTTGGGTGTAAAATTTGTATTTTAGAGTTTTTTGAAACCAGACATAGGAGATCTTCTAATGACCAGTCCTTTAAGACGACTTATTTCTGAACAAAAAAGAATGCATGGTTGTAACTGATTTTATATCTTTAGACTTCAAATAGCCTCTCTGTAGTCTGTGGTAGCTCTCTTATTACATCATGGATTTTTTTTCTTCTGGAATTCTTTATGTACTAAGTCCTCATTTCCTTAATCAGTATGTTCTAAAAGAAACCCTCTTGATCAGACAGTGTCGGGGGGAAAAGATGGCATGGGATCAGATGGAAAAAGAACAAAGGTGTGGTGGAAGGGCTCAGGATGATTGGTGGGAGTCAGGAGAGGGAGTCAAAGCTAGGGGTGTTGTGAAGAAGCACTGGCCTCTCTGGCTTGACTATCTAAGAGGAGAATCTTATACCATCCCCTGCCTCCACTGTTCCAAATGTGAGCTGCAGGGACTGGCCAGGTACAGAGCTGGAAGGAATTTGATGTCCAGTCTTTTCATTTGTCAGTTAGGTGCCAAGGTGTGAGAAGTTGTCAAGATAAAGTTTGGCTTGGACAACAGAACAGAGTAACAGGAGGGTGGGGAGTCTGTGGTAACCTGGAGCAGCTTACGTGCTGTTCCCCAACCTGACCCACCACCCACTGATGCGCTGGTTGAAGACAAATTTTTTTCTTCTCCTATTGCCCTTCTGTCCCAGAAGCCAGCCTGTTGGTATTCTGGTACCACCCCTGACGTCCAAGGAATATCACATCACAAGGCCCACAAACTCTCCATTGAGCAGTTTCCATCCAAGGAGATGATTTGTTCTCTTTGGTCTCCCAACTGTTGCTAGCTCCTCCTGGGAAGATGACCAAGGCAGGGTCTGTGAAAGTGAAAGAGATTTCAGAATCTATTATGTGTGAGTGCACTCCGGAAAGAACTATGGTTCTTAACATTACTAAGCCTTTTGGACAGAAGTCTTTCTTTTCATTTCATAGAATAGGTGTTAGTTCATCCTATCGGGAGGTACACAGTGTCTATTTCCCCACAGTGATGTAACTGTGGTCTTTTGGTTAAAGTTTCTATTTTCCCCTTTGTGATTAATAAGTGTCCTGAGAGGAAATAATCTGAGCTCTTCAAGCTTTCATCCACTAATTTTAATATCTATTGATGATTCTTGCCTGAACCAATTACTAGTGTAGTGGTTGCCGAATGGTAATTTTTTAAAAATTCCATCGTTCCTTCCCCATTTAGTAGTCGGCACTCTACTACAAGGAAGAGCTTTTCCTTATATTCATATATCAATGGACTCAGGGCTTTCTATCTGATGCGAAAGATTATTATTTATTACTGCCCAAAATCTAATAATGGAGAAATGTCAGACAAACCCTCACTGAGAGAGATTCTATAGAATAAAAGGCCTATATTCTTCAAAACGTTGAGGTCATGGAAGACAGTGAAGCTTGAGGAATTGTTCCAGATTAAAAGAAACTAAAGAGAGATGGTAATTAAATGTGTTATGTGGTCCTGGATGGGATCCTAGACATTACTTTTTTTTCTGTGAAGGAAAAAGAGTAGGCATTGAAAACATCTCAGGATAATGAAATAAGATCTGTAGACTAGTTAACAATTCTTTATCAGTGTTCACTTCCTGGTTTTGGTTATTGTTTTGTTGTTATATAAGACCACATCCTTGTTTACGGTACACACTGAAATGCTTAGGCATAGATGGGCATTTGATCTTCGGCATATTCTCAAATGGTTCAGAAAAATTATATATATAATTTACATTAAATTTTTATGTAATATTTAATTAATATATACTATATAAGAGAAAATCAAAACAAACATGGTAAGATGTTTTAGTATCTAGGGTGCCTTGCTTTGAAGGGTGTATAGGAATTCTTTGTACTATTCCAGCAGCATTTCTGTAAGTCTGAAAGCCTTTTAAAAATAAAAAGTTAGAATCCATGAGCCCCCAGAATTTCTCCAAGGCCTCAAATACTCTACTTGGATGACCAACTCAAGTTGCACACCACCGTCCCCACATATATACCCAGTGTCCTCCTTGCCCTGACCAGCCCGCAGCTCCTTCTCCCCCCGAGCACTGAGTTCAGAAGGAAGGGCAGTAAGGGCTCGGGCTGACCTGTCCAGGCGAGGGCAGGTGGCCTGAACACCCACCACAGCTCTCCAGGGCTTGGCTGCTTGGCCTCTGGTCCTCCTGAGTGCAAGTGAAGCCCCAGTGGATCATGCCGAAGGGGGACAGGCTGCCTAAAGGCTGACGAGAAATTGGCCCAAGAGCATTGAGAAAGACTTGCCTTCTGAAAGTCAGCCTCAGAGCCTGTCCATGAGTGAGTGCGTCCCCTGAAAACCCAGTAGAAGTGGACACGGGCAGGAGAGGGAGTCGGCCAGCTTTGCCCTGTTGCTTCCATCCAGCCTGTTGACTGCTTTCCTCTCCGCGGACTCCGGCTGATTGGACAGACCAGTTTTCTCTTTGGGGAAACTCCGACCATGATCAAAGTTTGGTTTTCTGCAGGATGGCGTGGGGCCGATCTTGCCAGCGATTTATGGGCAACACGGAGACTTGCCCCGCAAGCCCTCACTCTCTAAAGGCAGGGCTCTGCTCCATTGCTAGTGTCCGTTCCCAGGAAGCCCGAGTTTGCGGCAGGCAGGTGCCTCCTTGAGCTCTCAGGGCCCGTGGACGCGATGCCCAAGGACTCCCTTGCGGACGTGCTCCACGCAGAGTCTCCAGGTGGCTGCTCCTGTGCAGCGGGAGAAGCCGGCGCGAACAGTCTGCGATGGCTGGGTGCGGTCTGCCCCCTGCCGTGCCAGTTACACAGGATTTGCATTCATGCTCTCTTCGCCGCACACCACCAAACGCGGGCAGGAGTTTAGTCCTGCTGTTCGTGACTTTTTAGCCCTTAAAAGGGAGGGCACCTGCGCTGGATAGGTCTTGCTTCTCCACGTACCTAAGTTGGTGCCCGTGCCAGGGCTGGGCATGTGCCTTTGGGGATTTGGGGACGGGTCATTGTCACTTGGGCTCAGATAACGGCGTGCTGTCATCTGCAAATCAGGCGGGGTGTCGGCAGCTGGGAGCAGGACCCTCCAAGATGGAAGGCCAGGTTATCTGAGACAACTGCATCTGGATGGCAAGGGAGGAGTGGTGGTTGGTTTGCTCTTTTAACTGCATTTCTTGTGCCGTGGTGTTTCCGAGGGAGAGCACAGGGGCAGGAAAGGAATAAGGAGGTGACTGCCAAGGGGAGGATGGCTGCCACATTAATCTGGCCTTCCAGGTTGTGCTAAGTGATGGAGAAAAGAACTCCAATTCTAAGATCCACTGACATTCTACGAGGCCCCCGAAAATCCCATCAGTGGTGGGAGGTGTGACCTTACCTAGGGCTGCCACTGCATAGTCCTCGGCAGCAGCCCTTATTAGTGCTGTGTTGGTGGGCCAGGGTTTTAGGGCTAGGCAGGTAATAACTCTTTGTTGACTGAGCGCTCAGGAGAAAAAGTCTATTTGAAGTAGAAAAACCTGATGTCTACAGGAAAGCTTTTAGGTTTCATCTTAAATGAGGGGGCAAGCAGTCAGCAGCACTGACTGGAGTCAGAATGCCTGGGTTTAGCCCCCAAATCCACCAATTCCTGACCCTGTGGAAGTTGTCTTCTCTCTCTAGGTCTTAGTTTCTTTATCCGTAAAATGGGATAGTATATAATAATAGTATTTACTTTGTGTAGTTGTGATGAGACTTTTGAATCAGTAAATATAAGTAAAGCACATAGAATAGCGTCTGGCACAGAGTAGGGGACTGTAATTGTTGGCATGAAACCATCAGGATAAATTAAAAGACCTCTTGAAGGCTATTTCTTGTGATCCTCCTTCTTGATTATCTCCAAGAATGGAAAACACCATAGGTGGAGACAAATCATTAAACAGGCTCATTGGCACTCATTGGTTGAGTTTCCTTTGCCTTAAAGACCCAGATCTCCGTTCTCTCTGTTGAGTTCTGACAATTTCCCGCACTAATTTAAAAATAAGGATAATAACAGCTGAGTATTTACTTTAGATGGTTGCTGTGAGATGGTCTCTCTTATTTTCCTCTACATTATATGGATGAGAAAATTGAGACTTGGAGAAATGAACGGACTTGTCCAAAATCACACAGCAAGTCACACCGGAGATACAAGTCAAGTGTTTCAGTTCTGTAGCCTGGGCTCTTCCCCGCTCTGCCAGAGAAGGATTGGGCCTGGGGGTGGGGAGGAGCAGAGGGAGGAGATGGGAAGAAGGGAGGAGGAAGGAAGCTCCCAACTAATAGTGTTTTCAGACTGGGTGACGGCGCATGGAAATTCAGTATGTAATTCGGTATGTACATCCTAATGACAATGACGCAGATGACATGCCTTGACTACAACCAACCATCCTGACTGCTTTAAAAAAAAATGACAGATTGCTTTGTGCTTGCCACACAGTCACTGCTTAAAAAGCTGGGAGAGCCAGTCCCCTTGGAAGGTGTTCCGAGCCTATAGGCCTGGAATGCTAGGGCTTAGGCACAGCCCCTTATTTTCAAGAAGGGGAATGGGGCTGGAGAAAGGGCAGCCACTTGCCTCTATGCTGTGGCATCTCCCCAGAGCTCCTCCTGCCTATATGAAGGTCCTTCTTGATAGGAACAAAGAAGATGGACCTATTCTTCCATTGTTGGTTCAACACATATTTATCATATGATCCAACCTGCTGGATAAATGAATGAATTTCCTGATGTCTGAGCTTGTTTCTGTTCGCCTTGCCACACTGCATGTCTGGTTCCTTCTTGGTCTTCAATCTCAGTTCACATGTCACATCCTTGGAGAAACCTTTCCTGGCCATTCTACCTAATGTAGCCCGTCCCCCTCAGGCAGTCTTTGTCCAATCACTTTGTGTCCTTCATAACACCTGTCATGTAGAAGCAGTCCTGGGTGTTTGCTTACCATTTACCCGCCTTCATGAAGGCAGGAAATTTGCTTGCATTGTTCACTGCTGCATCCCAATGGCATGGAACAAAACCTGCACATGGTAGGTGCTCAGTCGGTGTTTGTTGGATGGAAATAAACAGATAAATGAGCGAGGTGACACTGATGTCTACCAAGGAGGAAAATATTCTGTGACTTTAAATGGAGAAGAGTGAGAACTGGGATGTTGGCCGGCAGTCCCGTGGTCATCATGGTGTGTCTAGCAGTTGAACTCATTGGCACATGCATTTTCTGAATGACGAAGTGTGCCAGGCACATTTAATTTCTGTTAATTGGCACCAGGGAGGAGGGCATTTTATCGAAATCACAGCCAGCTGGAAGCATGTCCATGTGAGACCTCGCTGCACAGCACAGTGGACATTTCATCAATGCTGCCACCTTGTGAGGCTGCAAGTCCCCAAAGACGCAGCCCCAGTGTGCTCACTGGCTGGGCTCAGGCGCACTGACAGCCCTACACCTTCCACCTCCAACAGCTGAGGAGGCAGGGTGGTGGGGAAAATCAGACAAGAAAAGACGGATGAGCATTATGGCATAAGGTGCATTTAAAATAACTGTCCTATGACCTTAGCCCCGAGCTGTTTACCAGCTTATGTGAAAAGTGGAGAGAACAGAAATCCGAGATTTCGAGTCTTGCAGAGCCAGCCCTGCTGCTTCCTTATGGTGACCCTAGACAAGTGCTTATCCTCCGAGCCCCAGTTGTTTGAGCTAATAAATAGGGGATCCTAACACTTAGCTCATGGAATTGCTGTGAGGATTCACAGAGAAACATGCATGTGAATAACCACGACGGCTACCACCACACAGCGTTTCCTACGTGCCGGGCGCCGTGCTCATGACTTTACGTCCATCTTCTCATTTCCTCCCTACCACACCTCTCAAAGAACTTACTTCAGGCATCTTGCAAGC